TAAACTACTTCAAGTGTTTTAAATATATTCCTGCAAGGATCTAATTTCTCTTCCACCGCCACACTTTTAACCACACAGCAGAAACACCTTTTCTGTTTTTCTGTCTCCATATTTGGCTCATGGTTACCAGAATACCGCCCAGAGAGCCAAACAGGAAGGGAAAAAAACAACTGACTGCCCATTTCCTGTTAAATATGAGAGTCGCCAGCGATGCAGAGAGAACCGAGGGTCGAAAAAGTAAAATTTAGAACATTTAGATGTGTTCGGCGAGAAAAAATCCCCAAAGTGACAGAGATATCCTGAGAGCCGCAGCATCATGGGAAAAAGTGGAAGGTCAGAGGTCTCTTCTGTTTATGTCTTAAGGGACGGTGACGTGCGCTTGGATAAATATCTGACCGGATTATCAGGCGTTTCAGCTGCTTCTGGACAATAAACAGTTTCACGAGCCTGGTTCCCAGATCCCAGAGTTAGCCTGTGTAAGTTTAGAATACCAAAAGACAGGACGAGATATTTTTAGAACCCTCCATCAACCATAAAACCTGTCATGAAAGGTTAAAGCGACTGGAGCCAGGGAAGAAGCAGCACATCTTTCCAGTTTAGGGGAGCTCTGCTTGGTGTATGGGTGGTTTCTGTGTGAGGAAAAACCTACCGAGTCAGCTCCTCCATGAGCTGCGTGTGGTCAGGAGGGAAGAACTTCACCACAAAGCGAAGGATGGTGTTTTTAGGTCCTGGAGGAGTGAAATTATGGGATAGAGAAGAAATAAGAGCAACCCTTCCACCATTAACATCTATTTCTGCTTGGTTGTTAAAAAGTGTTGTAGAAAAACATGCAACATGTTGAAAATAGGATTCAATAAAGAAACAGCAAGTGGGAGATCTTACGTCGGATCTGCTTCAGTGCCGGCTTCAGGAGATCCAGCCATACCTGAAGAGAAATAAAAGCACTGTTATTGTCACACAGAGGCTAAATTATCTCTAGTAAGGTAAGGTCCAATATCTAATTCCTGCAACATGGCTTCCAACCCAACTATGCTGAAACCAATGGGATTTACTAACAATTCCACTCCATACCCAGGCTAACAATGATAAAAAAAAAAAAAAAACAACACTTAGCATTTTTGTATTCATTAGTCCCCCAACACCTTCACTAGAAGGAAATCTATAGAGATAAATCTGACAGCAATGCTGGATTTCTTATTCTTCCCAGAATATTTTGGAAAAAATTTAAATTTTTGTAAAAAAAAAAAAATAATTTTTAAATAATCAATTATAGCAGTTTAATAAATAATAGCATTTTTCAATGGGACATGAGAAGTTACTGAAGACAGAAAGAGAGACAAGGCGACACAGCAATGGAAGGAGACGGAAGGTAAGGTGGAAAAACATACGTGAGGATTTAGTACACAAGAAATGACTTAAGGGAAGAGGCTAGAGCCGAAAGAAGAAGAGAGGAAGGAACGACCCAGAACGAATGAAGTACGGGTGTAAATCACATCCATCATGGCAATTCCATTTAGTATCGATTTCCTGTACCAACGATTGGATTATTTTCGATATTCAAGAATACACCACGATACGATTCGATTAATTGGTCCATTTTTTTTGCCGCAGACAGGACGCCGGCTTGTTTTGTATTTATGACCGAAATTACGGAAAACAACTCGTGAAGTTTGATCCGCTAGAAGAGTGAGGTGCGAGAGAATGCTGGGACCCTTTTTCCACCTGGATCTCCGCTCTTTTTGGCCCTCATGTTCCTCCGTTGTCGGACTAAACTCGCCCCCACTTCCTCACCGCCTCAGACCACGCTTCAATATTGGGCATAAATCAAAAATGACTGCGTCAAGCTCACTGCGACACACCACTGCAGGAGTATAACCAGGAAGCGAGGTAGGAGGGCAAAATAGGTTTAGCGCCACCGCAACACTGGAGGAGAATTACGCCCAGGAGCAAATGGATAAAAATAGACCGGAGGAAACAAAAAAAAAAAATGAATCGATACTCTTGTGGACGTGTCGATGAATCAAATCGTCGGCTGTTGGATTGATACAAAACGATTATTATTCACACCCCTAGAATGAAGGGACAAATAAGGGTAAATGAAAGGGAGTATAGTAAGAAAAAAAAGAAACAAGGAAGGACGCATGAATTAATGGAATAAGGAAAGAAGGAGAAACAGAAAAGGACAATAGTACCCCTTTCCCACTGGAAAAATTGGCTTTTAGCGACAGTGGGAACCGCTCACTGACCCATGTCTACCCAGGGTTAAACAATTTGGCATGCAACCTGCAATAAAATCGCCTCGCCTTTTACCGGCACCCCCTAATTTATGTGATACCATTGAGTGCAACCTATGGACTTCAACACATGGGGCCAGTCTCGTCTGATTTAACAAACCAAAACAGCTGTTTACATTCCAAAAATATGGCACAGCGCTGGTGAGAGGGCATGTTTGGAAAACACACAATAACCCAGTATTTTCTGTGGTAAAGAGGCTTGAAGGAAGGAAGGAAGGAAGGAAGGAAGGAAGGAAGGAAGGAAGGAAGGAAGGAAGGAAGAAAAAGAAGGAAGGAAGGAAGGAAGCAAGGAAGGAAGCAAGGAAGGAAGCAAGGAAGAAAAGGAAGAAAAGGAAGGAAGGAAGGAAGGAAGGAAGGAAGGAAGGAAGGAAGGAAGGAAGGAAGGAAGGAAGGAAGGAAGGTAAAAATAAGATTATAAAAGAATGAATAAAAGATGGATGAAAAGGGAACGGTGTCAAGTAGTGCATAAAGAAAATTGGGAAGGAAGGAAGTAACCAAAATATTGGAAGAATGAAGGGAGCAAAACATAAGAAGGGAATAATGGTGGACCAAACTAGAATAAAACGACGGGGAACACAACTAAAGGACGTAGGGAAGAAAGGAGTCAAATAAATTAAATTCCCAAAATGACCACTAGAGTCTCTAAATTCAGAGGGCATGAGAGGAGAAACTCTGGATCTTCAAGGACATTAATAATAAAGAGTATCTGCATTATCAAATAAAAGCAGTTATAATGTTTAGGGAAAAGTTAACACATCGCAATTGGCACCACTAAGAAAGCAGGTCAGCCCTAAACGAGTCAAACTCTGAATCAGTCGAATGGAAAAGCACAAACAATGGAATTGAACACATCATTACTCATGAAAATGGAGGCTATTAAGAAGTGTATTATATGCAAATAGAGCCTGAAAGCTAAAAATGTTACTCAAAGCGTTCAAAATGTGGAGAAAAATAAATCTTATTGAGGGATAATTGACCCAATGTGGATGTTTGGATTCTTTTACTTGATGTTATTTGATCTTCAAAGAACGTTTCTGGTTCCACAGAAACAGAGATCCAGCTTTCATCTACGCCAGCAAAAACTCGTCTTTTTATTACATGTAAAATCACTAGTGGAGTTTCCAGGGAAGTGAAAAACGCCGTCCAAACTACTAACGCATCCAGTCTGCAGGTCATTACAAACAGCTGCCGCTGTTAGAAAATGCATTAACATGAATCCAACAGAAAGCTGGGTTTTCCAATAGACATCAGCGCTAATATAAAGGAAAAAAATCCTTCTACCGGGGTCATTTAAATTAATTTTACCGTCATTTTCCGGTGGTCCGTGTACTCCAGCCCAAAATAGTCCCCTTCTGTGAGATTGAGATGGACACAAACCAGGTCAAAAAGCACTTTCCCAGGTGCTCGTTGCTGAAACAGAGGAACAGAGGAGTGGGGGACATGTTAGAGAAAGGGACATAGATGCTGACTGACAGGAGGAGGAGGAAAACCTTGATATGGATGGACATGAGGGTCACCAAAAGGATTAACTATTTCTATTCTAATAGCTTTACACGTGATGTATTAAGAGTTCATGAACCCTAAAGTGGATCCCAGTGTGGATTAATAAAAACAAAGCAAAAAACGGTCTCAAACACAAAAAGATCTGCTATTAAAAGCTTACGCTGCACAGGTTCGCATTTAATACATGTAAAAATAGGGGTCAAAAAAACTCCCTACCACCTTTTTAGACTTTCCACAACTCTATACCTTCACATCTGTCTCTACTGACCACTAAAAAGATGTTCGGTAATGAGTACGATACCTTTACATGAGCCTTTTCTAATGTTTGTTTGATTTTTAATTGATCTTTTTTAACCAAAGAAAAAGACTGAATACGCATGGATTGGGTCCTTTTACACCGAGACACAATCTGGAATTTTCGTCAAAATCAGTAAAGATACAGATGTTTTTAGATAGATGTGTCTCTAATTAAGATAAGGGGGTCAATTTGTCTTGGGCACAGTAGTATAGTTACAGCTGCATACATAAAAGTACAGATCAGAGGATACAACACCAATACAACTTCAGTAAATAAAGAACTAAAAACAGTAAAAACGTGCCGAGTTCTGGTGCAACACTTTGCGTAACATAAAGCGGAATATTAAAATTCCGATCAAGCCCATGTTTTGGGAAATAGATGGGGACTTTTCAACACAAAAGCAAGGTCCTGCAACAATGGGCCAAGAAAAACAATGATGTAGATGCTTGTGGTTAGTGCAGAGACAATATTAAAATAAAATCAAATATGACCATTTTGGTTGAAAAAAAAATCCTTTGAACACAACAGCAAAAAAAGCACAAAATTTAGATTTTTGGTAAAAACCACACAGTAGTAAACAAATTTTATTGCTTTGATGATCGAAGATGAAGATTAAAGGCCAACATATGAAACCTAATACAGTGAATAATTTCCAGGTGACCAAAGGTAGCAAGTTAATTTGTTCCAACGTCTATATGAAGGTATAAAAACCAGGCGATTGTCCAGCAACCACAGAATTAGGAATGAAGTGCACCATGCACCACAGGTTGATGGGTTTGGTACTAAATAAGAATTTCAACTCTAGAAAAAAAGCTATAATTGTTAGCTAGTTTTAACGTTATCCACAGTGAAACAGGTGCTGTATCCCAGCTAAATGAAATGCAGTCAAGAAAGAACATTTTTGGCGCCATACACTGTGGTTTGATTGAACCAATACAAAAATGTTAACCTGTAATGACTATAGATAAATTTAAAGGAAAGAGGGGGAAGTGTGCTATGCTGCAAAGCCCATCCCAGCTTGGAAGTATGGAGGCGGTGGCATCATGGTTTAAATAAGTTTAATAATTGATCTAAAACCGCCAAATATTCAAAGTTTGAGATAAATAAATAAGAAGGGTATGTGTCAGAATTTAAATGGGATTAAAAATGGGAGAACAATAGAAATAGGCTACTAGGGGCTAACAGGTACAGGATTATTTAAAACAGCTGTAATTATGTAATTGTTAATTGTGACAAGTGGAGCCATGGATCTGCTGAATCAGAGCAGCCGACCTCAAGACCTGAGCCAAGTCTGTCACCATCTGGCTGCCTCATGTTCATGAGTGAGTGTGTTCATACAGTCTGCAGGGATAGACCCACACACTCTTCATCCAGCTACTCACCAACACACACATTTACCGGCTAAAGCTCCAGTCTGATATCCAGGAAACATCCAGATTTTTTTAACATTCTCCAACAGCGTTTTCATTATCTGACCGACAGATGCAGCCGTCGTACACAAAGCTGGAGTTTGGCTGGGATTTGGGTCTTGGTTGTGTTAATCTTCGCCTTAAGGCGGTTAAGAAGGGACAAAAGTGGAGGAAATAGGAAGACGGGGGGAAAAAAAGAGGATGGCTTAAAGGGCAGAAAAGCAGACAAAAGAAGAATTCTTCCCTCTGCTTTAACTTGAACTGCTCTTCTCCTTTCCACCTAGATCTATAAAGGCATTAGTCTCATTCACTGTATCGATTGTTCTCCGCCAAGCCTGACAAGGCTGGTCTGTTAAGTGTGCTCTCCTTTCATATAAAACAGTCTTTACTTTGGACCTTTTCAGCTGGACTACTTCCTCTCAGATCAGCCTCATTAACTAAGCCTCTCACAGCAATCTCCTTCACCAAGACATCCAACTTCAACAAAACGGGATCCAGTTTCTCTGCCGTGCAGAACCATGTTGGGCTTGAAGGAGGTGCAGGAGTACGACCCAAAGAGCACAGAGCTTTGTTGGAAACAGAAGGCCGGATTTGGATGCCATGAAGAAAGCATGAGAATGAAAATCTTGAGTGTTTAGAAAGATGTAAAGACTTTTTATTGCTTTCTGCTTTGAGACATAAGGTATTTGCACAAAAAAAGTTTGAGTTGTGGCTTCAGGTGAAACCTTTAAACCATTAATGGAGGAGCTAAAATTGTACAATCCACAATAAATTCAATAGCTACAAGACTTAGATTAAAACCAGGACCACAAGAGCCAAGTACGCTGATGGCAGTGCCCATACTGGCGAATGTGTGCAAAGGGTGGTGAGGGCTACATTGGTTTGAATATGAGAGCACCCCAGTGAGTAGTAGGTTATGCGTATAGGGGTATGATGACAGACAGTTGGGGTCGGCTTCAAACTTATCCACTCTGGAAGCAGGTTACAAATGAAGTCATATCGTGGTCACTTCTTTTCGTGATGGGAACCCAAACCGACCAGGAAGATTGTTGTATACCAACAGTGTCCAACCCCGGGTGTCAACATCTACTATCCTGCAACATTTAGCTAGATTACTGGTTTAGAAAACCTCAATCAAATCAGTGGCTTGATACCAAGCCTTCACCAAACCTGATGGCATGCTAAGGAGATAAACATCTATTTCAGTTGACTGTGCTCGAGCAAGGACGTACCAAACAATTGCATGGTGGTAGATCTCAACAAAGCATCACATTCTGGGGAGTCCCAAGATGTTTCCAGGCCAGATGGGATATCAAGTCCCAAGTTTCCCCATTTGGTTTTCTCCTAGCTGACTGTGCTTTGGAAATCCTAAAGCAAGAGATCCCAATCAGATGCTTAAACCGCCTCAACAGACACCTTTGTTGTAGAGGAGTAATTTGTCAATACTAAGCCTTCCTGATATTAACAGACTTCTCCTCCATCTCTAATGCTAAGTCCAGGCAACCTTATATAGTCTTTTAGTCACGATCCATATTTACTTTAAGTTCCCAAACTGTAAATCACTCTCGAATCCATCCTATCGTCACTAGGGAACAATACCCCAAGATGCTTGATGTACACGGCAGAAACTGTGATCTATATATAAGAGATTGCACTTTTACACCATACCCATATGTAGCCGAACAAGGTATCTGCCCAGGATGTTAAATAGGTGTTTCATTTCCAGTAAGTGGCGCAGAAGCGAAGTCAGTTTTGCAGCCTCATACCCAAACTTGGCTTGTTTAGACTGGGCCTTAAGCAATGGCTCCTTTTCTACCAAACTAGTTGCTTGAGCTTCCTTAGAACCATTCCAATTACTTAGTATTTCTGATATACCAATTCTGTAACAGCCCTGAACTTGGCCAGTAGAAATAACAGCTTAGCTAATAGCTAAAGGCAGGTTCAGAGAGACTGAGAACCAATCAAAAGGAGAGTTTACATCTCTTGGATGGGGCTTGGTTCTCATCAGTATTATTTCAAATAATATTTAAACAGACTGAGCTTCTATATCAATAAAAGTCAGATTATAACAGAATATCATGATCATTTTTTATATTAAATCAGAGTTTTAGCAGGTCAGGTCCCCACATGCAGCTGCACTCGCATCCAATATTTCCTTCTGCAGTAGTTCCAGTAAAACAACAGAAAAAGCTTTGGTGGAAAAGCCGTACTACAGCCCTACTACACCCCAGTAACTTCTACAAATGGGTGAGTCCGGAACAAATTAGATGACCTAAAGACCGCGAGAAGGCTGCTTCTCCAGAGGGATGAGAACCTGAGGTTCACCCAATGCCCTTCAGCTAAGCGGATAAGCAATTTCCTCCATTCAAAGCCAACTTTTCTCCAGTAAGTAAGAAAAACAATATAGATACAGACCCCTTATCACACTCAGGTAACATTATCCGGTGGAATGCATGTGGAAACATGGGTCAGAAAACAGTGCTGAAATCTTGAAATATCAATTCCAGTTATAACAACACAAATTTCATGAACCTGATGGATTTCTATCACCTTCCAGCTGCCAGAAAACATCAACATACTCCATGTTTTTGCCTTCAACTGGCAGCTAAAGGTCTGCAGCAAACCTGTTTGTGATTAAGTTTTCAGCGAGGTAGTAGTCGTAAGAAAAAACTGAGTCTAATCTAAACGGTGTGTGGGGAGAAAAAAAGGCAGTCTCAAAAAGGTGAGAGTAAAGTACGAGCAAAGTTTCAATTCTTCTAAAGAGTGCCAGGATTTACTCTGGTTCATGATACTCTAGGCCAGTTTTGCAATATCAAAACTAATATTTGATGACTAATCTTTTTTTTTTCTTTTTTCCATTTGTTGTTAACCACAGAGTTGCATGCTTTTACCCCAGCAGGTTCACATGTGGAAAGTTAAAGAGAGAAGTCATTGGGGGGAAAAAAACAAAAACAAACTTTCTCTCTCTGCAGACGCTTAATGCAAGACATCTGATCTCATGTAAAAGAAAGCCACTCAAATGTGCTGCTTTTGGAAAAAGTTGACATTTTCATCATTTTAATGTATGAGAACTGTCAAAGACTTGATTATTTCATACTAGATACAAGGGGCAACTTGAGAGTTTAACAATGAAATGTTGAACACCCACTATAAATGTTTCATGGCAAACTTTCAAACACTTCCAAAACTCCAATGTATGG